CACTTAACTGCTAAGCCACGGGGCCGGCCCAAAGCTCATCTTTATCTATCCTGTGAGCATCTCTTTCTGGCAGGCTTTCATTGTCTGCAGGATGTTATTTTATTCCCCTTTTTTTCTTTTATTTATTTCTTTAAATATTTTTGTTATTGTGGTAAGAACACTTAACATGAGATCTCCCTCTTAACAAATTAAGTGTATAAAACAGTATCGTTAACTATAGGCACTATGTTGTACAGCAGATCTCTAGAACTTACTCATCTTGCGTAGTGGAAACTTTATACCCATTGAACAACTCCCATTTCCTCCTCTCCCTTGCTTCTGAGTTTGACTATTTTCCTGTTTCTTTTTTCTTATTGTAACTTTGTATGATATTCAACCTCAATACTTTTACTCCTTTCTTAATATGAAACTAGTTTTCTTGAACTTCTAGGAGAAGGCTTGGTTCAGATAGATCTTTTAACTTCATGAGTTCTGTTGTTTTTGTGCATCATTAAAAAAATGGTGGATAGCTTGCTGCGATTTCCTGGCTCTGTTCTACTCTGGCACTTCTATCAGGACCTTCTCTTTCCTTCATCTTGTTTGTTCCTATCCTGCTCAATTTTGTTTCCATTACCAGGACTTTCTCTTAAGTGTAGGATCTGTCTTGGAAGAGAGCCCCAGGTGTGTTTCAAGAGCTCTAAAGAACTAGACTGCTCCAGGCCTGTAGGCATTACTGTGGACCCCTTGCACTTACCCACTTTTGGAGTAGTTTCAGCTTCTCACAAACTGTCTCTCAGTGATTTCCAATGAGTACCTGTTGGCTGTTTTGTGCCTCTGTTCTCAGGTTCTTCAGATACCTCATTGCTTCCCTCTGCTTTCTCTCACTTAGACACTGATAGAAGAGTCTGTTGCTGTTAATGGTTTCTTTCAGTCCTCTGTATTTTGGGGCTTGTGGGGAGACTTTGTCAAATAGTTTTGTTGTAGATGTTACCCAGGGGTTTTTGCATTTGCTCTCTAGTTGCTCTGTTTTTATGTGAAGATTCACGAGGAATAAAAAATTTGCTGCCACCACAGCTTCCATCTTCCCATAATCCTCTTCCTCATAATTGTAATTTTGGGAGTTCTCATATCTTTTTTTCAAAGAGTCTTGGCAAAAAACTTTCGTTTCTTCTGAAATTACTGCCACTTAATGGTGTCCACTGATTTTACATGTCATAGCGCTCTGAACCTGTTGTTTTGCCCTGATTATTTCTTCTTAGTTGAGAGAGCATTTAAAAATCTCTTCAAGATCCTTTGGGAAATTGTGAAAGGGTCATGGGATTATCTTTCTGTTGCAAATACACAAGTGTTAGTGCCTTGACATTTAATGCTTTAGCTTTTTCCAATATTTAAAAACTAACCTGCATTATGTATACCTAGGGCCGTTCTTACATTACGGAAAAGACTTGGGTTTATTAGCTTAATATTGATTGGTTAGGGTTTTGAGAACTTGTTTGTTGGTTTTCCTTTATATAAAGATAATAATTCAGAAATATGAAATAATCAGAAAGCTTAAAGGGAAATTCTCTTGATATTTAGAAGAACAAAAAGATTTAAATAATTTGTACAAGGTGAAGATACTTATTTAACAAATATCAAATGTTTACCATGTGTTAGGAATCAGATGTAAGTAAATAATTACAGTGTGAGGCATACCCTTCTAGAAGTAGATTCAAGAGTACTGTGGGAACACAGAGTAGGAACTACCTTTCCCCAAGGAGTGGGATTGGGCGAGGTGGATTTTATAGTCACAATGGTGTATCAGTACCATTAATAAACTCATTATTTCTATTTGTTTCTGTAAACTTTTCCATTAGTAGTGCTTTATACAAATAGGTTTACTGTAGACTTCCTTTAATTACTACTTCAAAATAGCATATTGTTCAGATGGAATTAAAATAATTAATGTTTAAAAAGTTTTGTTTTGTGATAATGCTATTTTCCAAACACTTCTTAAGTGGAGAACTGAAATTTAGGAAGTGAAAACATCACAAAGCAGAATGGAAAACACAGTGTCTAGCATAGTATTCTGTACTTGAATGTTAATTGCTTAGTAAATTTTTTTTAATGAGTATCATATTTCACCCTTCAACTTTTTGTTCCATATAGTTTGATAAAAATATCTCTTTTGTTTAGTTGAAAAAACTTAACTATATGGTATAATTTGCGTATAATTTTCTCTTTGCGTTTCTAATCTGGTTGGCAACAAATTAAAGCCTGGTTGTACTTGCTTGAAGTACTCTGCTTAGGGGTGTTGTGTCCATTGTCTTTTATTCTCCTTTCCTGGTTTTTTATTTAGTCTGGATTAAGTACTTTATAAGGTATGGAACTTTAGTGTTTATAAAATGATTTCATGTCTATTGTTTCTTTTGAGCTATTGACACAAAAACTACAGTAAAAAGAGGACATATAAATGCAACTGGAACATAGTAGGAGAGAGAAAAAAATCCCTGAAAGAAGTTCAGGTGGGAATTACGTGGGGAAACTGTCATTAAATTAGGCCTTAAATGGGCTGGCCCCGTGGGTTAGTGGTTAAGTGCGCGAGCTCTGCTGCTGGCGGCCGGGGTTCGGATCCTGGGCGCGCACCGATGCACCGCTTCTCCGGCCATGCTGAGGCCGTGTCCCACATACAACAACTAGAAGGATGTGCAACTATGACATACAACTATCTGCTGGGGCTTTGGGGGAAAAAAAAAAATAAATAAAATTATAAAAAAAAAATTAGGCCTTAAATATTAGGGTTTTGGCTAAATGGTGGTAGGGAGAGTAGAGAGTCCAGAGCAAGCATATAAATAGAGAACTATATGGGAAGTATTTGAACAGGATTAGTCTGGTTTGGACTAACTTCAAGTAGAGGAGCATTAGTTTGAGGATGTAGATCTTGAGTCAGGTGTGTTGATGATAGAATGTACTTTCTTTTCAGTCTTTCTTTTGTGTACTTATGAAACAGTCTAGGCAGGATGGCAGCTAGTATAGTAGAGAAGAGTGTGAGCTCTGGAGCATCTCAAACTCAGCAGGTCAAAACAAAAACACAAAAAAACTCACCACAAACATTGATCTACCTCCAAGAAAAAAAATGCCATTTTCTCTTTCAATATTCTCTGTATTACCAAATGGAACTAACATCCACTCAGATGCTGATTGTGTGTACTAGAAGTGACAACTGGACTACTTAGCTGTATATAGCTGCAGTCAGTGTGGCTACTTAGAATTCAGGTTATATTCCATGTAAGTTTATTTAAAAACTTGAATGTTTATTAGGGTGTTACTTTCTAAAATGCTCTGGAGATAGTTTATTTAATAACGTAAATATCTTTAATAATTTTTAGCATAAATATATTTTACTTCAGTAAGTGTACATATAGGGTTTGTTTAGTCTTGTTGAAAGTGGACTTAATTCTGTGTTAAATTAATCATACTTTTTGTGTTGTTTTAGAAGTGCATATAAAATCAGTATATTAAATAAACCAGTATAGAGTCCTAAGTTTTACTCTTGCTTTCTAAATTTCACACTGGGGGCTATTAGTAAGATAAGATAGCATTTTCTGCCTTTATTGAATGTATTTCTGAATATGAATGTACTTTTAAAAGATGTTCATTTTCAGTGCAACATTTTTATTGGCTGTAGGAGATTTACTGCATGGCTGGCTAATTATGGCTTATCTTCAAGGCACTGAAAATCAAATTACACATAAATAAATTTTGAAGACAAAGAATACCGCCGGTTCGTATTCAAATGCCAACAAAATTTACATTTGTACTTTAGGACATTAGATCTGTTGACTTTCAGTTTTCTGTAACTTTGTTCCTTTCAGCATTACTTTTCAAGTGCAGTATAGGCCTGTCAAAGCACCAAAGCGCTGGTTGGCTAACTGGTTACTGTATGGTTGGTAGCACAGGTGATATTACTTCTAATTCTAGATGGTAAGGAAGTTTCCCTCCATTAGTGGTTATATTTGTTTTTTAATTTCTGCGCTGTCAGTTTTTTTCAGCCTTTAACATATTTTTGTTCAGACACCACACAGATTGCAACCCCAAAGGTTGAGAAGATGGATTTTCTAAGTTAGAATTACTCTGAGAGCTAGTAGTGCTTCTTTTTTATCACTGTTTAATAACATTTAAGGTGAATTAGTGCTAGGTTTTAGATACCAATAGAAATTTACAAATTATTTTGCGTTCAATTTTTTTTTAAACACATATATAGAAATAGCCATTTTTAGGGGCAGGCCCCGTGGCTTAGCGTTTAAGTGCGCGCACTCCGCTTCTGGCGGTCCCGGTTCGGATCCCGGGCGTGCACCAACGCATCGCTTGCCAGGCCATGCTGTGGCGGCATCCCATATAAAGTGGAGGAAGATAGGCACGGATGTTAGCTCAGGGCCAGTCTTCCTTAGCAAAAAGAGGAGGATTGGCATGGATGTTAGCTCAGGGCTGACATTCCTCACAAAAAAAAAAAAAAGAAATAGCCATTTTTCTTCTCAGAGAAAACAGTTTTCACTCAATTTATATCTTTTGTGGTACTGCTTTTTGAAATCAGTATTTCTTTGTGTGAAAGGCAGGGTTATGTGCTCGGGATTCCTTGTAAAGGAAAGTATTTGGTCTTTATACAGAAAATATCAGGTTTGTTTACTGGTTAGAAGCAAATGTGTTTTATTTTTTTTACTTATACAGCTATTGCTTCATTTTAACTTCCCCAAGAAACTGAAGAACAACTAAGACATTTTTTTGGAGACAAATGCTGCAACACTGTGTGGGGGAACTCTATATACTGTGTACAAATATCACAAAATTATGTAGATAGAAGTGGCATTTAAACCATGGTTTATACAGTGTATCTGGGCAAGTTAGAGTAGGAGAAAAGTGGATTCAGTGGAAGGTTACCACAACAGAATTTTTCCTGCAGATTTTTGTGTTTTCTGCTTTTAGCATGAGTTGGAGAAAGGTTTTTCCCACTCAATTTTATTTCTTTTTTTACCCCCATTGAAAAACAGTTTTCCTATGAGACAAATCTTTGACCCTTTTGTATTCTGCTCCCCCCCCCCCGCCCCCTTTCTCTACTGGAAAATGCAGCTGCACACATTTTTTGTTTAGAGACAATGGATCACATGCTGTGTCACCTAAATCTATGACCAAGAGGCAATTTTATCCCTAAGAGACCATAATGCTTCAGTTGTCCTGGATACATGACATCATGTAGCATTATAATCAAACATATGTCTTTTTGCAGTACATTTGGAGTTTGA